TATACAAATTGTGTGCATTTATAACTGATGTGGGTTCAAGAATGCCAGGGTCATGTCATGACTGGGAGATAGTATAATTTATATACAAAGGAATTTCAGAAATGTACATGAGGTTAGTTTTAGAATTTTTTTTCTGTTTGTTTGAGACAGGGTCTCAGGTATTTCCAGGCTGTTCTCTGATTTACGATGTAGTTGTAGTTGAAGATGACCTTTGGAGTTCTGATTCTCCTGCTTGTACGACTCAGTTCCCTACAGTGCTGGGATTGAGCGCAGAGCCTCCAACATCTGAGCAAATACTCTCAGCTGAGCTCTGTCCCTGTGCTTTAGGTGACTCTTGAGGTGGATTTTGATTCTGGGGTCTTTGACATATCTTCACAGTAGAGAACTGGGTCTCATGTCTTGCTGCCAAAGAGGTTAAACTGTCAGCTAGTGGGCTTGGAAAATGCTTTAATGACTTATTCTTACTGAAGTGAAAGCAGACTGTTTAACTTTAGAGCACAGTGTTTTATTGTGCTCATTTGGAGATTGCTAACACTCAGTTCTCTTTTAGAAAGCCCAGGCCCAGCTGAAGCTGCCCATCGTCCCATCCCTACAGAGGATGATGATCTATCGCTGGGCCCACCAGGCTCTGGCCACACCTTCTGACCATCCTCTTCTGCCACTCATCTGGCAGAAGTTCTTCCTCCTCTATCTTCATCGCCCAGGACCACAATATGGGTATGGTACCCAGTAGTGTAGTAAGTTCCTGTTGGCCTACTTCTGAGTCAGCATGCTGTAGAGTATGAATTAGGGTCACAGTTAGGATTCTCTCTGTGTTCAGTACTTATTAGACTTGATCTTAATGGAGTTTGGGGTATCTTGTGGCAACTTCTCTTTATCCTCATCTATTCCTAACATGTCTAAGACAGCACTTGGGAACTGGGCAAGGCTCAGCAGAGAACCTATGGAGGTGCATAGGGAGAAAAGATGCTCTAAACTGAGGATACATATGTACCTCCCTGAAGCCTGCAAGGGAGGCTTGTAATGAGTAATCATATATGAGTGTAGCCTTGGCTGTGCATGGGGATATTGTATAGTTCTACTGAATAGCAAGGTAATCTGACCTGCCCAGACTGTCCACTGGTACCAAACATTGCTCTCCAGCTCCTAGTTAGTTCCCAGCTCCACACCCTTCCTTCATTCCTTTGAAACAAAGAAAGAGGTGGACATTTGGTTCCCTCTGCTTTCTGTTAGATTTTGAGTTCTTCACAAAGAGACTGACACCCTGACTTTGTAGTATTTCATTATTTTCAAGGCCACTTTCCTGTGGTAGTTTTCTCTTACCTCTAGGGACACATTCCAAGATGCCTTGTGGATGTCTGATGCCTCAGTTGGTACCAAACTCTATGTACTCTGCATACAAACTTATGATAAAGTTCAGTTTATAAATTAGGCATAGTAAGAGATAAACAGCATATCTAGTAATTCAATAAACAATTACAACTGTATACTAGTTTAATATATGTGCTGCCAAAGAAAGCTCAGTGTAATAGTATTCTATAATAAAAGTTGATTAAAACATACATTGCTAGGGCTGGCAAAGTGGCTCAGTGGTAGCAGTGCCTGCCGTGCAAGCCTGATAACCCGTGTTTGATCCCAGAAACTCACAGTGGAAGGAGAAAGGCCAACTCCTAAAAGCTTTCCTTTGGCTTTTACACTAATGACATGGAATGTGTGCACTTGTACTTAGACACACACATGCACACACACATGCACACACTAAATGGAATAAAAAATAAAACTAAGCGCATATTGCTCATTTCTGGAACTTTCTGTTTGTACCATGGTTGACTATAGGTAATTAGATCCATGGGAATGGACTCAGCTAAGAGGAGCTCTGTATACACTGTCTGGATCATCAGAATAGATTTGGAGGTATAGCAAGGTGACTTGCTAATTGACCACTCTTATGCCACTTAGAACATTTTCTGCTCAAAGGTTATAGGATCTCCTTATTCTTTCTAAGGTTACCTGTAGATGGTTGTATTGGAAGAAGGTTTTTTCAAAGTCCCTCGCATATCAATTTGTTGAAAGACATGAAAAGACGCCCCTGACTGAGGTGGCTGACTTCCACTATGCTGCAAGCAAGGCTCTCCGTGTTCCAGCAGAGGGCAGTGAAGGAACAGCAGAGCGGCAGGCTGGTGCCCATGGTTACCTGACTTCTCCAGAACTGCACAGGGAGCTAGTGAGGTAAGGTGCTGTCTGCTGCTATTTGTGGCACAGACACATGTTACTCTGAAATTGTTATTGTATTTGGGAGGTGGCTTTGACACTGATTCGTACCTGGAGATGTTTCTCATGAGAAGTAAGTCAGCTGTTTGGATGTAGCTTTGTTGAGTAATAACCCAGAGGGCTGGTACCCTTCTCTCTCTTATGTGAAAATAGAAGTAAGCCAAAACAAATTGATCATAGCAGGCATTTAACTACCAGAACCTTTTAAATATCTGTTAAAGTGAAGAGATGACCAAGGCAGGGTTCTTTATCTCTGAGGTCCTTGACAGTGTCCAGGGGCTTATCAGTTTAGGCACAGATTGGCCTGTCCCTAAGTGTTTGGAACTTCAGATCAAGCCACAGTTGGTTAATGTGGTTTATGCCTGCACATTTAACTTAGTCCAAATGGTTTTCTTGGAGCAAGACCTCATAAACATGGCTGCTAGGCATCGTCCTCAATTGCAGAACACCTGGGTGAGTGAGGAAAGCCAGGTCTCAGGCTTGCTTTGACCTGGGGCTCTCAGTCCTTATCTTGAGTGGTTAAAGGACTTTCACCCGGGTCCCTTTTATTTTTAACCAATTTTACTAGAAGGTTTTTTTCTTGGAACATTTTAGGTCTTTGATACTCCCTCTCTTTAGTTCCCTCTGTGATAGTTTAGAAAGCACCATCTTCCCGAGTCGGGAGCTGGAAGAGAAATCTATGCTTGCACCAGCCTTGTCTATAGTTCTCTTCCTTGACACACTGTCCTGCTTGTAAAGGAGGTAGTATGTCACTACCTCCTTTGGTCATCTGTGTCTGCCAGCCACTTTCCCATGCTGTTTTTCAAACAATGCCTTGGATACCAGTGGCCTTAGCTGATAGATGACTCTGTTCTTTTGAAAAGCAAAACATAAACAAACTGTTAAAATATATTTAAAAATAAAGACATACTTTGTAAGCCTGGCTTTTAAAAATATCCCTTTTTTAATGAGAGCAAGGTACACAGATCCACAGTTTTATTTATTGTTTCCTTGAGACAGGACTGGCCATTGCTATTAGTCTGGCAAGTGCTTGCAGTTGGATAGAAACTAGCTTTTGGTATTTTCCAAGTGGCTGTGTCTGACTGGATCAGGATAGCAAAGCTCTGAGTTCAGATCACAGGGCTGTGGTATAAGCACTCCTCCTATCATGTCTGTATTTGCTTCTTCATCCATAGCAGGGCTCTCAGAGCCCCTTGCAGATCTTTTACATAAGCTGGAGCCTGTTTCAATGGTGTCTGAGGTCTCCCGATGCAAGTTTCTTAGGAGAATCAGTGGCTGCTAGACACATTTCTTTACTCTCACATGATGGTACCTGAGTTCTTAGTAATATAAGAAACTTCATTTGACTACACATCTTTTTACATTTTATGTAATTGTGTTTTTATCTTTTAGGCTCTTCAATGTATTTATATTATGGCTAGAAGATGAAAATTTTCAAAAAGGAGATACCTATATTCCTTCTTTACCGAAGCATTATGATACTCACAGGCTAGCAAAAGTGATGCAGAATCAGCAGGTAAAACCATGGCAATAAGTTTTTTTTTTTTTCATTTCTAAATGTAAGTTGAACTGACCGTAGTCATCGCCAGGTAGTAAAACTGCTTACTGATACAGAATGGTGGTCACACACAGTCATTTTGGTGGGCTTTGTCACTGTATATATGAATCGGTAATGGCCTCACCTGAAGGCCCAAAGCTTGTTCTAGGGCCTTTTGTGACCTGAGGAACATAGCCTTTGTCTGAGTGGGCTCTCACTTATTTGAGTTGTGACCAACTGAACACTTACGCAGCCATCTCTACATCAGAAGCACAGGAATGAATTTTAGGTCCATCTGTAGCATAGGTCATAGGTCAGCTCGGGAGAGGGTGGAGAGGCTTCCTTGTCAGTGTCTAGCTCTGACTGTCCTTCTGGAGCCACTTGATTCTACTCCCTGTGTGTCATAATAAGGTTTCTTTCTGGCACACATGCATGTCTTTGATTCTTTTTCAGCCCTAACTTCTAGTCCCAGCTTTCTTCAAGTTTCTGAAGCTAGCCTGGGAGGAGGCAGAAAAATAGGAAAGAAGGCCTTTCACAGTGGGTGGGGGGGTCCTATACTAGATATGGTTTTGTAGCTTCTAACACATGGGGGACTTTCATTTGGTTTCTTAAACCTGTCTGTTTCCATACCGTATATAGAATTTCATCTCCAGTAGGTGTATTTGTCTTTCTTTGCTCCCTTTATTCTTCTCTTTCTTATACCAGTATTTATTGAGTGCCAGGTTATTAATGCCAAAGATACTAAAAGAAATCTGATTTAGTTCCTGCCTGTCAAGTGGGAGAGCTAACGTGCAATGATCACATCTGTGTCAAGACTAGTCATAAAATGCCAGTGGTGCTCTGTGAAGTCATTGAGACCCAGCGTGGAGGGGTAACTTGTGAGCCATGCTCTGAAGAGCTAGTGGGAGCTTGATGAAGTTTGGAGGGAAGACATGAGGCAGTGTTAAGTGATAAAAGACTAATTCATGCCAAACCATGACATGTCCACAATGGTTGGCGAGGATGAAGCAGCTGAGCAGGACAGGTGGAACCACTGATGTCAGCTAGGGTGAAACCATTAAGGGCCACGTACACTTTTCTAAAGAATTTGGGTTTTATTCTGAAGCCTTTAGAGAACTATGACAATGGTTAAGTAAATGGAGTAGTATTTTAAAAAGTTATTTATTATTTTGTGTGTGTGTATGTGTGTATGTCTATGTCTGAGTGAGTTTAAGAGTGCCACGCGTGTGCAGGTGCCCTCGGAGGTCACAGGATATCAGATACCTTGGAACTGGAGTTAGAGGCAGTTGAGAGCTACCTCATGTAGGTCCTGGAAACTGTAAAAGCTGTTAGTGCTCTTACCCACTGAGCAATCTCACTTGAGCCCTGAAGGAGGGGATTTGAATTGATTACATGCATAAGAGCGTCTAGTCCTCCCAACCCCTACTTGGGCTATCTGGAGGATCTATTTACCAAGAAAAGGAATGTGAGAAGAGGAAAAGCCTTCAAGTGAGAGCTCTGTTAAGGAGGCAGCCTGGAGCGAGATAAGAGATGGAGAATTCAGGAATGGGCCTGGTAGAGAAAGTGGGCTTAATGGTGGTAGAAGGTTTACATTAGGAAACAGATTAAAGGTGCAGCAACCCTGAGAAAAAATGTGTAAGCTCAGAAATGAGGCTGGCAATAAATGGCTGGAGGAATAGGGAAGGTGAGTTGAGTGCTGTCCCTCACTCATTTCTTCCTTGTGCTCTGCATTCTAAATCTTTACCCAAGCCTTTACAAATAGTAGAAACACGGTGCTTTAAAAATGGTAACCTCATGGACTAGAGAAATAGCTCAGTGGTTAGCAGCCCAGACTGCTCTTGCAGAGAACCCGAATTCAGTTCCTAGCCCCATGCCAGGTGGCTCATTTAATCTTATTTAATATAATCCAGATGAATTAATCATTCATTAAATCATTCACTGTCCTGCTCTGTAGCTCAGGGGGACTGTCACTCACTATGTAGACCAGAGGCCTTGAATTTGCAGCAATCCTCTTGCCTTACTTAGCCTCCTGAGAGCTGAGATTATAGGCATGAGCTGTCATTCCCCACTTCAGTGTCTTTATTTTTTTTAAAACATTTTAAAATTTAATTTTATTACTTTAAATTTAAATTCATTTTTAATTGTGTATCAGTGTGTGTGTTTCTGTGTGTGTCTGTGGAAGGTATGTGCATTTGCGTGCAGGTGCCCACTGAGGCCAGAGGTTTTGGTTCCCCCAGAGCTGGATTTGCAGACAGTTGTGAGCTGTCTAACATGAGTGCTGGAAACTGAGCGCAGGTCCTCTGCATGAGCAGTATGTTTTCTTAACTGCTGCAGGCTAGCTCCTGTACTTACTTTTAAAATGTTCTGTTTTCTTTATATGTTTTATAATGCACATAATTTAGTAGCCTAGTAGTGTGTGTATTTACAGTTAATATGCATGTAGTGGTGCTATAGAGCAGTTTATTTTCTAATCATGGCATATAAGCAAAAAGTTTTATAACTGCTGTTAAGCTTGTTGGTGGTCATTTGCAGTTCATGCTACTATTGGAATCTTAGTGGAAACTGAGAGGTTCACTGAGGTAAATTCATAGTTGTATGTGTGAATATATGATTCATCTACCAAAGTTCAAGTGCTTTGGTTCCACTCTAGGACCTATGGATGGAGTATTTGAATATGGAGCGCATACACCATGAGTTCCAGGAGACAGTTGGTCAGTGGACAGAGACCAAGCTTGAGTCGCATTCACTGTCCTGTAGCTCCTCAGCACAGCTCGATTTCACGGATCCATTGCTGGGTGAGTCCTGTAGCATCAACCCCTTTGAAAGACAGGAACTTTGAGTCAGAGCCTTTGAGGGTTTAGGTTTCCATATTTTATCTCTCCAATGAGAATTGTTTGTTAAAGGTTCCCGCTTGAACAAAATCTATAGAGAACAAACAAATACGTTCTAAGTTACTGAGGAAAAAGGTCCATGTTTACTTGTCGGCCACTGAGGGACAGAACCCATGCCCTGATTGGCACACACAGAGTAGTGGTTAGTCACCCCTCATGAAGGAAGTTTGGAGGCAGGTGGCTCAGAGCAGTAGGACAGCCTAATGACGCAAGAGCTTCCAAACACATCTGTTCTCTTATCCTACCGCCTCACTGTTTTTAAGTGGCATCTACCTCCAGATTAAGCTGGCCACTTACAGTAAGTTGGAAGGAGAAGTCTCTGTAAAAGAATTGTTTCATGAAGATGTTTATTGACTCTCTGGTTACTCTGCTTTGGCCCAGACTCAGCCACACATCTGCCTGCAGCTGAAAAGCAGGCCTTATGGTTCACTTCTTTTGCATTGCTCTAAAAATGAACTTTAACTACAAAACTATTCTTTAAAGTGTAACTTTAAATGTTTGCAAATTTAG